TTCAAAAGGGTAGATTATAGGGTAGATTATAGATTCTTAGGGTAGTTATAGATTCAAAAATCTTATTTTATCATTAAATGTGAAATTTTTTTTTAAAATTTTTCTTTCACAAAAAATATATCATATATGCTATGTTGTGATATTTATAAATGTAATATAATACATTCAGACTAAATAAGGATATTGGGGGATGTCCACTTGATGAATTATTATCATAGATATTATTACCTCTATTATTACAAATAAGGAGCTCAGTAGAAAAGGTGCCTAAGATAGTAAAGGTGCCACAATTACTTCATTTTATGTAAATTGGAAGGAATTTTATGGATCTTTTGAAAAACAACAGGAAAAAGAAAACAGAAAAAATTATCAGAAGATTAGTATTTGTTATTAAGATAGGTGAAAAAAATCTAATAAAATATTTAGGATACCACACTACTGTGTTTTGCAATACCAAAAATGTTAAGCAACTTTACCTCATATTTTTGAACATATATACCTCATACTCATATTTTTAAAATTTTAGTTAATGGAGTTGATTAGGCTAAACCAATGATGTGTCTATGAATTGTAAATGATTTTTCTATATATGTAACATGCACTAATTTATGTTTTTGTCGCCAGATCCATCTATTAGACCCAAATCAGTTGCCTCCTCATCACCTTTAAGAGCAAGATAAAAAGGACAATGAGCAGATGGTATGAATTGTATGAGCTCATAAAGATCATTTAGCTTTTTTTTTGTGAGTTTTCTAGCATTGGGGTACAAGTCCTCAAGTTCAACATTGATTGTGCCAGATGGCAGTCTATGATTTTGCATTGTTATGCCAAGCAACATGTTGCTCAGTATCAACATTCTATTGGTTGATACTGAACAACCCCACCAATATTTTTCAAAATAGAATGTAAACAAAAATAAGTTTGTAATATAATAGGAATATTAGGTCCTAAGACACTGCTGTTGCATGACCATTGTTGCACAACTGTCATAGGACTATATGGAAATCAATCATAACATAAGATATTTTTATGTTGCAATTTTGTCCACTGCAACAAAGGCTATACAATATTAAATGGCTTACAGTTTCTGGTATGTGTCACCAAACACGCTTTAAGATTTTTTTTTTAAACCTTCACTTTCAACAAGGCTGCAAGCAACTACTAATAAAATTAGAAGTTACTGGAAGAGAAAAGATGAAGTTTATAGAGCAAGATAACGATTAACAGACAACTTGAAAGATTGCAAATTATATCAATTAGGTAAACAAGAAGGGAGCGAATTCCAAAGAACAGAGAAAAAAACTAAACAAATAAGAATTTTTGGAGCGCTTAGGAACAGTCATCGTAAAAGGATGAGATTTAATTGAATGACAAGTAACATGAGAATGATTTTTAGTAGTAGGCACAAGAGATATTAGCTTTTTATAGAAAAGAGAAAGAAAGCAACAATGTAACAATTGTTAAAGGTTGACTCTAGAGCAGGTCTAACTGTTTACAATGTGTTTTTGCACCTTGTCTAAAAGAGAAAAAAAATCATTTAAAGATCTGCTCCAGTTATGGCAACAGAGTAAAAAAGTAGCAAGCACAATAAAGAGATGCAAGCTTAGCAGATGCTATTTTTGCAAAGAATTTGATATATGGTTTCTAAGAAAGATTGGAAATAAGAGTTAATCCTAGAAGATAAAGAGTAGATGACTCATTGAATATATTACCGCTCATAAATATAATAAGATCTAGATTATTGCAATAACAACTAGATAAAAATAATTGAGTTTTATCTGACTAAAAGTTCAACAGCCACTGAGAGCCCAATGCTGCAGCAGAAGTGAAATCCTTTTTTCGCTCAAATGCTCCCTCCAAACAATCAGAGAGTGTTGGCTTCTTATCAAGACAAAAATAAATGGTAGTATCATCAGCAAACATTGCCACCTTAGATGTGAGAATTTCTGGGAGATCATTAACATAAACTTAAAAAAGTATAGGGCCAAGGATAGGACCTTGAGGAGCCCCTGAAGTTACAAGAAATGCAGAAGACCCATATCAAGGTTAGTACCTTGAGAGTCCCCTGAAAATTCAGAAAATGTAGAAAATTCATAGTTTTCTTCAATGTAAGATTTCACAAAGACAGACAAATCAGTAGTAGAACAAGAAGATCAAAATCCATATTGATGATCAGAAAGTTGTTAAATTTAAGATGAGAGATTAAGTATTTGTTAATTAAGACTCAAAAACTTTTCCAATGATAGTAAGAAAACTAATGGGATGGTAGTTAGATGAGTCAGATCGCTCTCTAGAATTTTTGAAAATAGAGATAAGAGATGCTGCTTTCAAGCAGGCTAGAAAACAAGACTCTGGTAAATAGTTTTGAAAGTATAGATGACAGCTCAGGAGAACACTTCTGCAAGACTATAACAGGTATGTTGTACAAACCACAAGCTGTAGAAGAGTCTCAGCAGGAAATTACTTTAGATACAAAAGCTGGAGTGATATGTTATGTCAAGCAATGGATCAACCAGTTTGTCTGTTATATCAGGTAGGTTGTGATTAGAGGAATCAAGAGATGAGATTGATGAAAAGTTCTTAGCAAATAATTCAGCTTTTTCTTTAGGTGAGGTAATAAAATCTGAAATATGCAGGAGGGGTGGAATAACAGATTTATTCTTATTATAGACATTGTTAAAGATTTTCCAGAAGTCTAGCGAGCCAAATTTTTGAAATAATATACAAGATTTTGTGACTTGAGAATAGATAGTATAGAATTTTTTTGTGACTTGAGAATAGATATGGAAGTAATGATTACAATTTGTAACCATTACTTCCATATCTGTTGTAACCATTACTTCCATATCTAATATCTAAACAATTCTGGAGAATTTTAGTAAATATTATTATAAGAAGCCACACTGTATGGACAAGTTTTGGGGTTCAGCACTTTTTCCACAACAAACTACATATTCAATATATTGTTGCAGTAATTATCTGGAAAATTTTGTAAAACTGGGTTAGGCACCTTTTCCACTTATTCAAATTTAAAAATAGAAAAAATTTAAAAATTGAGCAAAATTTTCTTGGCACGACTGGAGAAAAAAGTTTAGGTGCAATTGAAACAACATAGTAGATGCAACTGAAAACTACATATAGTAAGTGCAAATAACAAAATATCTATAATACAACTGATGACAATATGTCAGGCTTGGACAAGAGTGGCGTACAATCTCATGCTGTAACTGACCATGCTTATAATTTTTTTATTTACAATTTTACCATGGTTATTTTATATTTTAACAATTTAAAAGCAATGAAAAAATTGTTTCCTTATGTTTTAACAATTTAAAAGCAATGAAAAAATTTGTTTCGTTATAAATAATTTTTAACCACTAAACTTTTTATTTTACGCAAAGGCTTTAAATAAAAATTAATTATAATAATTGTTTAAAATAAACACATTTTGTGTAAATTAACAAAAAATGTTATATTTAAATTTTTATAAGTTACCTTAAATTATGAATAAGTTAAATTAAATCAAATTTTAGCAAACAAAAACAAAAAGTAATTTTCACTTCATTCTGAGTTTTATTTTCTTTTTTCATAAGTTTTTTTCTTTAGTTTTTTAAGTTTTTGATTTTCTTCCTAGCTTAAGTTCCTAGTGCATTTTAAAAATCATTTCTAAAACATCTAAACAGTTGTGGTCAAAGTGTCAAAAAATAAATCATTTTGTGGTCAGCAATAACACTCCATTGCACTCCATTCCTGTTCAATACGTATAATCGTTATTAAACAAATGCAAGTAACAAGACAAAATGATTTTAAAAATTTTATAAAAATGTTTTGAAACTTTTTACTTCTTTTTATTTTGCACTAAATATGTAATGGAAATCACAAAATCATTTTTAAAAGGTAATAAAAAGTTTTGAAATTTAACTTTTTTACTTAATTTTTGCCAATTAAAAAAAACAACCTTAGAAAGTTCATTTTCCAATAGCTCACAACGTGCTTGAGCCGAATCAAGCTGGCTGTAAAATCTTGCTCCAATAACAGGCATGACTTCATTAATGTTATGAGGATTTGATGTAATTTGGCTACTTAATAAATGCCTAAAACAAAAAAAATTTCAGATTATGAAGAATCTTTTAAAAGAATTAAATTTTTAAACTATAATTAATAGCAATTCAATTTTAAAAATAATTTTTAAACTTGGTATGCCATCTTGATGCCATCATCAATATATTGATGTCATCATCAACTTGATGTAATCGTCAACTTGATGTCATCATCAACTTGATGTCATCATCAACTTGATGTCATCATCAACTTGATGTCATCATCAACTTGATGTCATCATCAAATTGATGTCATCATCAACTTGATGTCATCATCAACTTGATGTCATCATCAACTTGATGTCATCATCAAATTGATGTCATCATCAACTTGATGTCATCATCAACTTGATGTCATCATCAACTTGATGTCATCATCAACTTGATGTCATCATCAACTTGATGTCATCATCAACTTGATGTCATCATCAAATTGATGTCATCATCAACTTGATGTCATCATCAACTTAATGTCATCATCAACTTGATGTCATCATCAAATTGATGTCATCATCAACTTGATGTCATTATCAACTTGATATCATCATCAACTTGATGTCGTCATCAACTGGAAACAAATAGCATAATTTGATTTCAATTTTTATTTTCTCTAATTTAAAATTAGTAAAAATTAAAATACTCAAACTAGTTTTAACTGACACATATAAATAGAAACCACAACCAAATACTCAGGAACTTATTTTAAGAATAATCAAGCACTTACCTCATTCAAGCATTAGTCCCTCAGAGTTAAACTAACAAAAAACTTTCAAAAGTAAGAGAGATAGGGACAGAAGAAAGACCACAGTTATATATAACATACCATATAATCATATATAACCTGATATAACAATACATAACCATACCATATTTAATCTTATTTAACAATACCATATAACCATACATAACCATATCATATATAACAATACATATCCATACCATATAACCATATATAACCATACATAACCACACCATATATAACCATATCATATGATAATTTTGCAATATTTTTAACTTGAAAACTTGAAATAACTATTTTCACGAGAGAAAAAAAATTTTGAAAAAAAAAAGCACTTTTACTTAATTTTTTTTTTTTTTTTTATAGGATTGTATGCCAAATTTAAAGTTACAAAAATCTACCTGTTACATACATATTACAATTTAAATTAACTAACCTTTGTTACATACACAAGCAAAATTATTTCCTTAATACAGTTACTGGTACATTGTTAATGTGATTTTGAAATAATAATATAACACAATTTTGTGTCTATAACATCTTTGATCACATTCCTTGAATATTTTTTAGTCCCTTAAGTAAATTTTTGATTTTTTACAATTTTTACTTTCACCCCTTTGCTATAAAATACTTGGAAACTTTATATATCTCCCAAATATTTTAAATTAAATTAGTAACATCAGAAATTAACAAAACTCACTTTGTCATTTTCATAGAAGCACTTAACATTAGAAACTGTACCTGGTGTTCTGAGAAATCATAAAAAATTGCAATATAAACATAACAAGCAATTTTAGTACTTGTTAACTATAGCCACTTCCTGAAACAACAACAAAAATATAATCAATATCTTAAACCTTCATTCTAAGTATGGTTGCTTACTAATTTGATAAGTTAATGAGTTGATAAAATCAATAATAACTCTTTTTTAAGTCAAAAAATGTTTAAAATATATAAATAATAATCTAAAGTTAAAGTATAATAGGGGAGAGTGGTGTACACTGTGGAGGTATTTTCAAACTTTTACAAATATTAAAAAAAATACTTACAATATGTTTCGTAACAATATATATTTTTTAACTTTATGATAATAGTTACTCTAGGATTTTTTATTAAACATCCAGACATAATTTTTCATCCCTTTTTTTAATTTTGAAAAATAGCTTACACTACAGCCAAGGTACACCACCAGTGGTGTATCTTAGAGGTATGTATGCTGTACCTTCGAGGTATTATTGTTTTAACAGATTTAGTACTCAACATGGTAGAAATTTAATATAATGTTTACTTATAGGATAATTAGACTTCACATTAGAATGATAAAATCTAACTAATCTAGCTGTCATGCTAAACCTCCTGTAATAGAGGGATGTGGCAACTTTTAAGAAAATTATCAAAGAGAAGAACAATTTTAAAAAATAATTACAATTTAATTAAGAAATACACGCATCATATTATACTAAAGAAATTCTAAATGAACAAAAAAAATCATAATAAACTATAACAACATCTTACCACATTAAAAAAATACTTTTATATCAAATATTACTTATAATAGTATTAACAAAATCATTCAAGTTTGTACTTTGGTTACCACCAAGGTACACAACATTAGCTACCTCCAAGGTACACCGTTACCACAGTTTTTACGAAATCCCTACTATATGTTTATAGGCTAGAAATTAAGCAGTTTCAAACATACATAAATGCAGCTGAAAACATGCTTTACAATTTTTGATAATCAGTTTTAAAATAAAATTTATACCTACAGTTATTGAAAAAAAAAAATACGCTCTAAAAAAATGACTTTTGGTACTAGAAACAAACTTTTATTCTTATTGCAACAACAAATGTGATAAGTCATGGTAAAACAAGTTATTATGAGCCTTAAGTGGCCAATACATGCAACTAAAATCTTATACTGCTGATTTGGGTGAGCAATGTGATTTCATACTGAAATAGCCTGCTGCCGGGGGCTTCAGTACATACATCGACAGACAAATAGCCTGACTCGCAGCGGAGTTCTGTTACATCAACTGAGGGTTTAGCATGGGGCAGCAATCTTTTTATTCATTATTATTCGTTTTTTTCTTCTTTTTCTAAAAAAAGCTGCATTGATTTAGATAAGCAAAAAAAGTAAGCAAATGCTTACATAAATATGCTATAGTAGACCCAATTATATTATCTGTTTGAACAGTTGCAACAGGAAGAAGATTCTATCTCAAGGTGCGTTTTTTTCCATAATTTGTGCCATTAATTGGTGATGAAACAGTCATATGTCTTTATCTTGCCCTGGCCATTTGTATTTTTTATATATTATGCAGAGATAAAACTTTTTATTTTTAAAGGTATCTTAGCAATACAAATTCACAAAAAAATGGTAAAAGTATTAAGAAAACCTGCTTCTCAGTTAAAAACTGAGTATTAATGGCAAGCCTTCCAGTGAAGTGCAAGCAGTCGCACGCCTTGTGCACCCACGTTTAAATTAATCTTTTAACTTGACATTTATAGTAAGCCTTTTAAGAACTTATAGTACAAAGTATAGTATAAACTATAATACAAAACCTTTTAAGAACAGTAAGCCTTTATAAGAACTTGCATAACTTTAAACCTTTTAAGAACATAGTACAAAGTAAGAACAAGGTCGTAAGAACGAGAATTATATAAAAATTTTAGAAATGATAACTATATTATAAATATAAATATGTTAGGTTTAACAGCATAAAAAATGAATTTTAAAAAAAGATAAAATTGAAAAATTTTTTTAATCTTATCTTTATTTAAAAATAAAAAAAATTTTAACAATTTTTTCGGCAACATTTTTTTCTTAATAAGTTTTTTATAATATAATTTTCATTTTTGAAATTTTTAAATGATTTTGCTTCATTTGAGACCCAATATGATACACCTTTAAAGAACTTTTTGATACTATTAGAAACTCATAGTTCCTAATAGTATTTAGGAGACCCCTAAATATTTGTTATTCAAAAAATGTTTAAATCCAGTGTTTTTTTACCATATAGAACATGTTAAGGGGGTGGCAGCATATATTTTTCATGTATATGTATATATATATATATATATATATATATATATATATATATATATATATATATATATATATATATATATATATATATATATATATATTATATTATATGTATATTTATATATTATGTATATTATATGTATGTATATATATATATATATATATATGTGTGTGTGTGTATATATATATATATATATATATATATATATATATATATATATGTATATATTATGTATACTATATGTATGTATATATATATATATATATACATATATATATATATATATATATATATATATATATATATATATATATATATATATATATATATATATATATATATATATATATAAATATATATATATATATATATATATATATATATATGCATTATACATATAAACTAAAATTAAGAAAAAAAATACTTTAATAAATCACATACCAAATTAGTGTTTTAAGATCATTAGAATAATGCCTTGCAACAAATTCAAGTGAGAGTTGCATATTGTCCCTGTGCACAGCTTCAACTGTATAACATGCAAGTGCAAGAATCAGTTTACCAAAAGATACCAGATCTTCTTGCTAAATTAAACAAAAACAAATAGTGCCAATAAAGTATGAAAATATATTAAACCTTTGGCTCCAGATAGAGAAGACAATCAAAGTACTTGATAGTGTGACATTAAGGAGGGAGTAGTAGGATCAGATGCATCTGATGTAAGTATATCTAAAATTCCACAACAGTTCAAGCGCAACCTAAATTATTAAGGTCTTAATAATCAGTGAACTAAAGTAAAAACTGCACAATCTAATTAAACTTATTTATTCCCAATTACCCCCATCCCTTCCCCAAAAAAAGAAAACTTAATGTTATTATTTACTTTTATCATTCAATAATAAAAAGCATTTAAACATTTCAAAAAAAACAACCTTGAATTCCCAATAAGCAAAATCTTTGATGGGTCAATAACTCTACAACACAAGCCCTGGCTGTGTATTTGTCGAATGGATGCAGACAGTTGGATTACATAGCTCCAGATTAACCTCTCAGGGATTACCTTTTGAGTTGCTTTTTTGGTAGTTATGTTTTTTAAAGATGATGAAGATGATGTTGAGTTTTGTTGTATAGACCAAGAGTTAATATCTATTAAAGTAGGACTTCGAGTCTCAGGTCCAGAGAAGTGACGAGACATAAGAGTTTCTGCTCCAGGATAATAATTGTATATAAAAACAAGAGCTACAAAAATATACAAAAATTTTGTTTTTAATTATTTTAAACATCCTAATTTAACATACCTAATTCAATTCAATTCAATATATACATATATATATATATATATATATATATATATATATATATATATATATATATATATATATTTATATATATATATATATTTATATATATGGACACAAATGTTTTAAAAAAGGATTTTTACATGTGTCACCAAATGCTTTTGTTGTAAATGCTTCTTTTAATTGTACAATATTTGAATTAACAACTTTTTTCCATTGTTCTACACTTGTGACAGCTTTGGGATTCAAAAGACGAAACCCTAGAAAAATTTAACATATTTTTTGATACAACATAATTACATTGATAATTTTTTATATTTTAATAGAAATTAAACAATTTTTGTGCAGCTTGTTTTTAATAGAAATCAAATAATTTTTGTGCATCAAGTTACTAAAAGTGATTAAAACCTATAAGCACTTATATTGTTTAATAGTATTAAATTCTTATATATATATATATATATATATATATATATATATATATATATATATATATATATATATATATATATATATATATATATATATATATATATATATATATATATATATATATATAATTTATATATATATAAATGTTGTATATATATAAATATTATATATATATAAATGTTATATATATATAAATATATATATATATATATATACATATATATATATATATATATATATATACATATATATATATATATATATATATATATATATATATATATATATATATATATATATATATATATATATATATTTATATATATATATATATATATATATATATATATATATATATATATATATATATATATATATATATATATATATATATATATATATATATATATATATATATATGTATATGTATATATATATATATATGTATATATATATATATATATATGTATATATATATATATATATATATATATATTATATATATATATATATATATATATATATATATATATATATATGTATATATATATATATATATTTATTTTTTATATATATATATATATATATATATATAAATGTTGTTTTTTGTAAAAAAAAAAAAATTTTTTAACCTCCCCCCCCCCCCCATAACTTGCGTCGCTTTGCAGTAATGGGGGGGGGAGGGAAGTTGCCTTAGTATATAATTGTAAGTTTTGTACGTAATTGTTCTATTTTTAACATATTATCTATCATATTTAAGTATAATCTTATAATTTTCTTGTTTGGCAGAGTTTAAAATAGCGTAAGTTACTGTTATTATTTACAACTTTAGTTATAACTTAAAGTTTAAGTTGCAGTTGTAAGAAGCAATAATGTTTTTAATACTATTAAGATATTTCTTTATGTATATTTTTACTTAACATGATACTTAAAAAAGTAAAAGTAAAAAAGTAAGAGAAAAAGCTACATTACAATATCTAAACCACTTTAATTAGTCAAAGAAAACTATTTAATACGTTCATACTGACGTTTTAATTTAAAAAAGTATTTAATTGTTAAAAGCTAAAAAACAACATTAAAACAAACTGCAAAGTTGTTTTAAAAATATAAAGAACTTGGAACAATGAAAAAACAAATTCGTGACCCTGTTTCGTTTTGATTTATACGATTTATAAAATAAAACGCGTTTAAAATAAAAGGAAGCAAATAAATAAAATTGAGCTAGTTAATAAACTAAAATAAAACTTCATATTTGCGCCTACAGAACCACACAAGTGTACAATCTATAGACTAAACGAGTAAGATCAAAGCAAAAAAACATTAGATGTCTTTTATAAATTATCGTTTCCTGATCGAGTGTACTATTAAAAATTTAAGTATAATTAAGTTTTCATTCAAAAGGTTTTTAAACTGATGTTTTCATTCAATTTTTTTTTATTCTAATTGTTTTCCAAAAAAAAGTGACTAAAAATTTTGTCTAATAAATCGAATTATAATAAGTATAAGAATATGCTTAAACTATTTTTTTAGAAAAAAAAATTTTTCGAACAGAAGTAAAATATTTTATTAAATTTAATTTAAAATTTTTATAATTTTTATATAACTTGCAATTTGCAATCACTGCTTTGATGTTTGCAATAGAATGTTTTTACTTTTAAAACTATTTTCAAGAAAAAATATATAATTTAAAATGCTAACAATTTTTACCATTTACAAAAAAAAAAAACTTTTATTTTCATTCTCCCTTGTTTCATCAAACTTTTTTTTCAATTTTTCAATTTTTTTTTCAATTTTAAATTTCAATCATAAAATTATTTGAATAAGTGAAAAATTTCTTTTTAACTTTTGTCTTTTAAATTAAAAAGTGCTTAGCGTTGAATAAAAATCTCCGTACGAAAGAGCAAATGATCGTGCTTCCATTCAAAAGATAAACTTTGTGTGACGTACTTTACTATGGAAACATTACTTTTTAAGAGTTGCCAAAAAAAAAGCTAAATTATAAAAAAAGTAAATAAACAACTAAAAAAGTAAACCAATCGCGAAAATATATGTTTTAGAAAAAAACTACACGCGAAAGTATAAAAAGCAATCGCAATTCACGATCGTGATACGCTTAATTCGAACCCTGTATATATATATATATATATATATATATATATATATATATATATATATATATAAATAATAGTATATTAATCCACATAATCTAAAGCATTTATAAAAGGTACACACCATGAATTCTTCTCATGCAGTAATGAAGACCATCCTTAGAATTCATCACACGATAGCAAGATGATGCATATCCAAGTAACTTTTGACCCTGAAATACATACTGAACATTATATTTTCAATTAAATCATTAGTTACCAAATGACGAATTTAAATAAAAAATTTTTGCAGATTTTTAAACTAATCATTTTTAAAAATTAAATATATACAATAAATAAAAATAAATTTGGTGAATTTTACATAGTTTGGATATTAGAGTGTCTTCAAAATATTTGACAATTCAAAAGATATAATGTGTTTTACAGGGTTTTTAAGATATTAAAAAAATAAAGATTTAAAAAAATGTAAAAACTACAGAATAAACATTTTTTGAATAACTGATTGAATAACTGATTAATTTTATGAATAAAATATTTTCTAAGTTGAAGGTATCTAATAAAAATAAAATAAAGGAAAAAGAAGCACTTCTGTGATTTTTTCTTTAAGTCTTTAAAAAATATATATATCTTATTGTCCTTAATTAAAAACATTTTGAAGAAACAACAAAATATACTTTACAGAAAATGTTACATTTACAGAAGAAAATATTTTTACAGAAAATGTTACATTTACAATAGAAAATATTTTTATGCGCAGTTAAGAAAGTAAAAAATAT